AATTTGGGAGACGCATAAGGCCACCATTCGGAAGCTGTATTTGGAAGAGCGCAAGCCGCTGAAAGATGTGATCCGCATCATGCATGAGCGTCATGGCTTCCAGGCAACGTCAGTCTTCTTTTGACTGCAGCCCCGTGGTATACTGACCAGACTTAGTCCCAAGATGTATAAGACAAGATTTACTCAGTGGGGCTTCGCCAAGAACAACACCGAGAACGAAGTCAAACACCTCCTTTCGATGAAGTTTGAAAGAGACGCAGAGGGAAAGGTCTCCGAATTCATCCGTAACGGCAAGGTAGTGAACCTGGCAACCTACCTTAAACGGAAAGGCGTTACCGAGTATGACCTCGTTGATTTTGAAACGACATCGCGGCTGCCTGCACACGTTCGGTGCCGTACGCCATCGCCACCGCCATCTCCAGCCCCCGGCTATCTAAGGTCACCCGACCTTATACGGGCGCAGGAGATCCTCGTGGGCAATATGCGGAAGACTCTAATTCATTGCCAACAAATAGAATCCAGAAAACCCTTCCAGAACGGATGGAGCTCCCTGCTCTTATGGGGTGCCGAGTCGAGCGGCATGCTTTATCAAGCCGGCAAGCTCTTCGGGCGGAGTCAAGACAGCCAGGCCGGCGACCTACTCATGCGAGCGTTTCAGCGCCTTGAGGTTGACCTTCAGCATCTATCAACACAGGGCACTAAAGAGTTGCTCTTCTGTTTATCATATCAAAATCCGGGCATGACGACGGCCCTATCCAAGTATCTCGCCGCATACTCAATGACGAATTATGCACGGCTACACCCACTACGCCTCATCTTCTCTAGCCTATACGAGGTACTCAGGAAACATGGGCCTGCCGCCTTATCCGACCTGGTATGGAGTGCGATGCCTACGCTAGCTGAAGAGCTCGAGACTATTCACGGACAGCACTCTCCCCTAGCCGTTCGGACCTGGATCGACCTATCCATTCTCTACAACCATCCAACCCATATCGCCTATCATCTCTACGCGATTTGGGACACTGAATCAGATGACGCAGCGCAGCGCAGA